TTAGCTATCACCTTGCATATATCTACTTAAATTTCTAGATTAAAGGATTAATTGGGATAGTTTGGCCTTTAGTATCACAAGCTATTTTCAGACCAGTATAGGTCATTAATTGGGATAGTTTGGCCTTTAGTATCACAAGCTATTTTCAGACCAGTATAGGTCACTTCAGAGAGATTGGTAATCTCAATGATAGATATACTGTATTTTTTCGGTTTTTCTGGTATTTATTATTTCAGTTTTCTCTGTTTCTCTCCCATTATTACAGTTACAGAGTTATTATGGTGAGATTGAAGTTTACAATTTCAAAAGAAGGCATTCCAAAAGAACAAATCAAATACATACTCAGAAATATTCTCAAGAACGTATGTTCGTTGATAATATTGAAGTTGAAGAATGATCTTAACTTGATATTCGATTCGAAATCCTTCTTTACTTTATATATAAGTAGTTCTTGTTATATAAACTAATGTTATATTTTAAGAAATATAGACATATTTTCCAAAATCGATAAAAACTATATGGTTTTGACTTATATGAAACTCTTAAATTTCATTAGTTAGTTCGAAAATTCCTTAAGAATGTAAATTTTAACAAGAAATCTTTTGTGTGAAATTATTTCAGAATTCATTTTATAGTGTAATTGTTCAATTCGGTCTTTCGATGAATTAATACCATGTGTGCAAGCAGATTATGAAGAGAAATGTGTTGAAGTTCATGTTGAAATTGAACTCTCTTGTGATAGAAGATCAAGTCAGGAGGTATTGATCGATTTCACGAAATCATTCACTATGGAATCTGGGTACATTTCCCTAAACGTAATATTTGCATTTCTCAAAATTTTCCCACAAATTTCAAATACTGATATCATCTTGAGATGGAAATATAATTTTTCAGATATAGTCTTGAAATGCAACCGTATATGGAAATACGGAATATGGACGGAATATTAACCGACATTAGGTTGGCTATTTGCATTTACTATCTTTCAGTTTGCTCTTTCTTAAGATATCTCCGAAGACTCAATCTTTTCCTAGAGAATAGATTCAGATGATAGTTGACTGTATTCGATTTATATGGATGTCGAAGAATTTTTGAACTTAAATCTCTGATTTGTTATCATTTTCTCTTATCATTTCTTAAGATTATAGTGCTAGGAACAAAGAGAAAAAGTTAGTTAGAAATTATAAAAAAAAGTGATAGATGATGACAATATGCAATTTTCATGGCTTTCCTTTAATATTGTTTGAGTAATCGTCATTATTTATATCTCGTTTTTTATTTCTTGAATTTTCGAAAAATAATCGGATATTTTTTTTTTATTTTTCATTTCATGATTTATTCAAAATATGAATTTTAGACATACAAAGAAATTTATCTAAATGGCTTATTTCTCTAACATCTATTTAAAAATTCAATCAAAATCAGAATTGAAATAATGGATCATTTACAGACCCGATCATGCTAATATTGATATACTTTGGATAGGCATTGGTAATATGCCAAATATGGGCTTATTTTTTATTCGTGGTGAATATGTAACAAAATATAACACATCCAGTAATAAACTAATCGTGAATTCGGTATGTGAAACAAAAATGAATAATGCTGCAGGTGAATATTTGATAGTTTTCAAAATATATATTCTAATTATTTCATTAAACCATTTGTTAATGTTGATTGAAATTCACATTACTGTTAGTTACTATTTAAGTTGTTTTATGATATTTATGAATAATCCGGAATAAGCAGATAATTCGATAAATTAACAAATAGTTAAATTTTTTAACTTTATTTATACTAACTGTGTAAGGGTCTATTGGAACTAGCAAGAAAGTATTGTGATTTCAAAATTTAATCGAATTTGTATCTGCTCGAAAATGACTTGTAAACGAAATTTGATGGAACCATTGAAAAATTCCCAATTTAGGAAATTCCACCAAATATTTTGAAATAGCGATACAAAAATAAAACAATGCCGGAAACTTTTACAGTGATTTTTTTCAATATTTTGAAAAATTCAGGACAACTTCATGTGAATTAAATTATTCCACCTGTTCTATACTTCATATGGATCAGCGTAGCTAGGATTTTTCTTTTGTTGTTTTCAAGCTTTGATTAAGGAATTTGACGAAGTTTTTTTTTTTTTTTTGAGGACCTGTAAATCATGGATGAGAAATTAAAATTTCAGGCAATCATACACTATTGTCATGGGGACATTTTGAACATGACCGACGATTGCTAACCATTTATTTTGCTATCGAGAATGTTACTCATTCTCATGATGGTTTATTATATATAGGCTATAAATTTGTTATCACATATAGTTCATTCTATATGGTTATTGTTGATTGTGATTCGGATCCAGATGAAAGAGATAACTATGTTTATATTTGTTTGCGACATCCACCACAGGTTATACTTTAGTTTTTCCTCCAAGTTTTTAGATTTATTTTATTTATTCGTTTGCATATCATCACTGTTCATTTGTGACACTTTTTCGAGTAGACTGAAAAACAGTTTGGTTCATATAAATAAGAAAATAGGAAATATTTACTAAGATCTGTTAATCTAAACAGGGACTGTTCTCTATAAAATAGTATGAATGTGGAATAGCTACACTCAGAGTATGACAGTGTCGTCAGCTTCGAGATATTGTTTGATATTTTGTAATTGGTGTACTCAAATTATGCTTCCAATAACTCAAAGTACAGCTGTGGGAAGCGGTACCCCGAATTATGACAAATGGAAAAAGGGTCTTAAATATTGAGCAATGTCGCGATTGGATACGTGTGGGAAGTTTCCCAGGAAACAGATATTTCGCCGGTTGTTCTCAGGTATTTTAAGGGTAGTTGTTTCCAGGAAGATTTGGTAAATTGGGATCTAGATTTCTCTTCTGTTGATTCAATTCTAAATCAAAATATGATTTTGTAAATAGTTAATTCTATGAACAAACTGAATTCTTTTTTTCCAGAAGACTTTGGCTGAATCATCATGGTTCAGCTTTGCGATGCCCAAAGAAACAGTGAAACCGGAAAGAATGTTCCCGGATGAAGTTATTGACTGGCAAAGACGCCCATTAAGTGTAAAATTGGTAATAGTTAGATGACAAATATCCGGAGTAGCAAAATCTTAAATCTTGCCTTTAACCTTATTCAAGGACATAAAAATGCACGTCAACGGAAAAAGTATACCCTATCGTCGCCTAGTTTATGTTAATTTCTGTTGATATTTTTATATCCAAAAAATATGGCACATTTTTTTCCTACCAAACGACGACTGTTGCTTTTTTTGGCTTTATATCCATCATTTTGATGGTTGAATATAAATCCATGAAGAAAAGAGGCTTTATATTCTTTATAAGTAAATGAAATAATTACAAACTTCTTTGATTTTTCATTTGAAATTTCTATTTTTTCGAGATTTGAAGAATCAGAAAGTCAAATATCTTACGCAGTGTTTATTTTTTAAAGACTCCAACACGTCAGCTGTTTGAAATCATCTCACGATGGAAACGTCGAGCCAAGTGTCGAATATTTTTTGCAGCAGTCATGAAAATTCCTCGTCGAGAGTCCTCAGATGTTCGCATTTTGGAATTGCCATCATTTAGGTATGCGATTTATGTTACCTTGTTGAGAAGTGACTTCTTTTTTTTTTTCGATGACGAATCGTAATCTTAAAGAAATTAGGAGTTGAGATGAGTGAACAATATTTAATAACAGTGGAAACATATGATGGAAAATCATGAGATTAATCGATTAAATCCCTAGTTGTAAACGAAAAAAAAAAAGAAAATTCATGAGGAAACAATTGCATTTTTAACGATTGCTTTTTAACATCTTCATATGACGATTAATACGATAATTGTAGGTTAAATTATGCATTGCAAGCATTATTAGGCAGAGGAAGTATTGTGAAAGATCAACTTTTTGACGTTTCGCAATCCTCCTGCAATAATCTTTTTTTCGAACGGATTAATTACGCTGCTCAGGTATAAAAAAAAATGTTTCGAATTAGTTTGGTTTAATCTTAACAAACGAAATTTGGTTGATTTATTACAATTAAAAAATTAATCATTAGATTTAGCTGAATCTTTTAATTTATTTTTCTATTTATTAATTAAACTACATTTACAATTTAAAGTATTTTTGCTTGAATTTAGTTCAAATTTCACGATCTTTTATCATGGATATGTCGCTTTTTTTTACATCTCCCAAGATATTGAAAGATATTATTCTATATCCTCTGCAAAAGGATTCTGAGGAGTTACTACTGTAACTATAGTATTTATGTGAATGCTTAAAAAAGAGTGCACGAATAACTCTGAAGGGGATGAAATTTTGAAATGGATGAAAAGATTTAAATTATCTATATATACATGCTTTTTCAGGAATGTTTATTGGCTTGTGAGGAGACATTGGACTCTGCTTTGGTGGCTGTGGATGAAAAGCGACGCATCTCATTACTTAATTTTTTTGAACATATTTATTTTCAAAAATTAGATGCATTGCGAAAAGTATCAACTGATGAAGAGGCTGAATCACTATCAGATCTACCTCACAATTGTGTCTTAATTCGGAAAGTAACTATCTTCAACGTTAAAAAAAGTGGAAAACCTGATCATGACCTTTGGTTACTATTAAATTCTAATAAAACACTAATTTCCTATAATAATTTTTTAATATCCTCGTTCAGGTTATGGCAACTCCGCTACGACTTTTACTTTTACCACCGGAGGTGATGATGACGAATCGTGTAATACGTCATTTTGGAGAAGAGTACGCATTACGTTGTGTATTTCGGGATGATAATGGTCAGCGACTTGTACCAAAGGAATTTTCACGAGGCCGCGCTTTACAAGGTCTAATTTTCTCAGATATTTTTTCTTTTAATAAAAAATAGTATAATTAACGTTAACATTAAAAATAAAACATCAAGTATACTATCAATAGTTCATCCATTTATATGTGGTGATGATCATGATTTGAGATGTATACGGATGATTGATGCACGTTAAGCAAGATTCAAAAAGATATTCTATTCTGAATTATCAGATAGTTATTATCTATGTGAATAAGCATTTGTATCTATTAAATGTTCTGGATCGAATTTTTCCCATTCAAACTGAAACTTTTGTTTGAGGGCTTTATGAATATTATTGATTTGTTCAGTGTTATTATAAATAGCATGAATTTTTTGTTGGAAACTGAAATGTAATGTATTTTTCACTTCATCGAAGCTATTAATTCAACGTTGACAAATTTTAGATCAATCGTTAATAATTCCGGATTTGATATACAGAACACTTGGAACAGGTCTGCACATAGCATCACGACATTACCAGTTCCTTGCATGGTCTAATTCACAGGTACATGGAAGCATTATTTAGAGGGAGAATATTTATTTCAAAGTAAACTTCAGCTCAATGTTTTATTAATCTCTAGCTAGTGGTATTGACGGCTGAAATAAAGAGGATGAAAATTGGTCCCTTTCATCAATCTTATTCTCTGAGCGATGCATGACAAACTGGTTTAAATGATTGCAGGCATTTTTATCAGTTTTTGTTAAATTTGAATAGAAGAGACAATATTGGGGGAAAGTATCGCCTAGTTTTTTACTTTCATCTGTATATTCGGAATTTGTTCGAATAGAAATTTCGAAAATACTGAACATGTTAATTTAAGATGCGTGATGGCGGTTGCTACATGTATTCGGATGCCGTTGTTAATGACGAAGTACATGGTCAAATGATTTGTAACGTTGAGGATATCAGACGTTGGATGGGTGATTTTACAGCTTCGAAAAGTGTTCCCAAAATGATGTCTCGTATGGGACAATGCTTTACGCAAGCACAGGTAAATTATCTCATCCCAAATAAATAGTAATATCATTGCAAGTATTCATCTTCCACTTTTTTTAAAATTTTACTTTCAACTATTCGTCTTTTGTTTTCCGTTTTTCCATTTTCTCCTTTACTCTTCATTTGTCTCGTACTTTTGCTTTCATCTTTTCATTTTTCCTTCTTGCATAATTCTTCGTTAATCACTAACCGTAGCTTTTCCTTCATTGTTTGTTTTGCTCTTTTTACTTTTATGTAATACTAAATCATTCGTTCAGAGAAAGAATTTTCATTTATTTAGTTTAAAATAAAATTCAGTTCATTATATTTTGTCGGTCTTAGATCAAGGTTTAAATGTGTGATATTGCTCGACTTACTCGAATTATTTTGTCAGAGGTTTCAATTCATAAATCTTATTATCCATTCAAATCGTGAATTTTTCTGTATATTCCATCTTGCAGCATATTATTTTGTTAACATTTTTCATCGTCACATTAATCCTATTCATCATATATCCATTACAATAATTTCATAATCTTTATCTGCAATTTTCTATTTTTTTAGCCTATTTTTTTCTTGTGATTCGTCAGTATTCGTATCTTTCCTCATTACAACTGTAACTTTTTTTTTCAGCCAACAATAATGCTGGAAAAGAATGACTGGAAGGTGGAAGATGATATCATGGGTGGAATCGTACATCCAGAAACTGGTGAAGTTTTTAATTTCTCGGATGGTGTCGGGAGAATTTCTAAGAAATATGCTGATCGAATTGCTGAAGTATTAGACTTACATCCAACACCATCCTGTTATCAAGTAAACATTCAGCTTATGTATTGTGCTCAGTTGTTAATCGTTATTAGATATATATTTATGTGAAATGAAAAATTTAGCAACCTGATCAGATTTCACTTCAACTTTTTCAATTGTACACAAGCTATTTCCATGCACTTTCAAGTTTTAGGTGCGATTTAAAGGTTTTAAAGGTGTGCTGTGCATTGACCCATTGTTGGATGAACTAGGTCAAGCAAATATTATCTTCCGAAAAAGTCAAAAAAATTTGAGGAAGATGAAGAAAGTGCAGCTGAAATAGAAGTGGTGAAATATTCTATGCCTGCACCAGTTTGCTTGAGTCGACCTTTGATCATGATTTTGGATCAAGTAATTATCCTTTTTTTTTGCGAAATCATGTTACTTTTAAGTTAGAATGCATAGTTAATCTACTATTAATCGTCTCGTCTACATCTGTGGATCACTGATTTTGATAAAAAAAATTTCTGAATTTTATTTTAATATAAAATGAGCAAATTCTTGGAATAAAACTTAAATGCTCCAAATTTATAGGTTTCTGAAAAGCAAAGTCGACATTTACATAAAAAAATTTGCAGTCGGATACATTCGCTTCTAGAACTGGAACTTAATAAACTATCCGGTTAGCATTGCTTATTTTAAATCATTCGATGGATCTGGACTTACCATGTTGTCGGACGGTAGTGACGGAGTAATGCTGGAGTATGCAAGAAACGCATATTTCAAAATTTTCGTTTAGGCTCGAAAGAGCAGACAGATTTTGATCGCAGTAATGCGGACTCGGTAGACTCTTTTCATATGAGTATGATGTCTTGTTAACATATGGGAATGATTCATGCTTCCTGAAATGTCAAAATTGTTTCTGAATATAAATCTGAGCTAGATCTAATGTAAAGATAATTTTCAGCCATGATGTTTGATGAAAATGATGCTGCCGAAGAGCTCAGTTCACGGATGTCACTTCCAATCGACTTTCATCAGTTGCACAGTAGCGGTATTACATTTACCAACGAACCATTCTTTCGTTCACTACTGATTGCCATACACAGATACAATATAAGTTGGTTTACACTTTTTTTCGACTTTATTTAAATTTCAAATAAATAATATTAATTCGAATTTGTTCTTCCAATAAAGTCTCTTGAAAAAATTTCATATTTTAATTGAAAGAAGTCATACAAGTTTCTAGAAAAAAAGCAAAAAATAAAAAAATAACAGAAGTATTTGAAAATCTCCAATCAAAATAAATATCACTTTAAATATATTTCAGTGGAATAGATTTATACTATTCTTTTTCTGTTTATTACAAATTGCTATTGCTGATAATAACTGCGTTCAAATATTGTTGCTGGCATTATCTTCAGAATTACATCTGAGCAAATCCAAAATTTTTTTACCCGCCTCAATGGGTCATACAATGTACGGAGTAGTTGATGATACTGGATTACTCCAGCATGGTCAAGTTTTTATACAGTATTCGCCGTCTATACGGTATGTCTCAGGGAAGAAAATCATTTATACAGGTAAAACAATAGAAAGTTAACGCCTCCCAACACTTTTATATTTTTCGGAATTTTCTATTTTCCAAATCTAATTTCATCCTTTTCTTATAATTTAAAAAAAGATAGGGATACTTTTTTGATTCGATGTTTTCCTTCATAACCAAATAGATTGATTTTATCCTTTAACAAGCCTGAAAAGGATAAAAGGACGTGTTGAATCAGTAGAGATATTGGTGTGGGATATTGTGAAAAAGCAGTGCCTTTTATTGTCAGCTTCTGTGTTGCCGTTTAAAGTTACGACTTCATAAAGATCTTTGAAAATTGGAATCAGGAAAATCAGGTTTTTTTTAAAGAATTTTATTTCCCCAGGACCAGTAATGGTAACGAAGAATCCATGTCACGTGGCGGGTGATGTTCGTATGTTCGAAGCAGTTTATCAGGATGCTCTTTCACATCTTTGTGATGTTATTGTATTCCCACGTTATGGCCCTCGCCCACATTGTGATGAAATGGCTGGTTAGATATAAAATTTATCAGATTTCCATCTTTTATTGATTAATATACTTGTAAATTCATTTTTTTGCTTTCATTCGATCATAATTTCGTTTGCTTTTATACATATGTTTTTTCTTTTTCTTGTTTACCTTTTTTGCTCCTATTCACAATCGTTTGTTTTATTTTTCGCTTTTACTTTTTACTTGCCTATCTATTCATAAATACAACGTATTTTAATTAATATCGCTTTCTAAGCTCTCAATTAATACTATCAATTTGTTACTGCATAGATTAATTGGATTTCTTGTTCTTTTCAGGAAGTGATTTAGATGGTGATGAATATACCGTCATATTCGATAAAGAGTTGTTTTTTGAGAATAATGAACAAGCAATGTTTTTTCCAAAATCGATACCAACTGAATACGATACACCACCCACTGTATTTATTCTTTTTGTGGATCGCAAACCTAAAATAATTGAAATTAAATCCATATTTGCTTAGAAATGTCAGAAAAAGGAGAGAATATTAAAAGGAACACCGTTTGGGCTATCAGCGCTTTCACATTTTGTGTGTGTCGTGCCATTGGATGAAGAAATCACTAAATGAGTTCATTTTTTCAATTTCAATTATTTTAGGTTTATTTCTCTTCCTAAATTTAGTCCACTAAACTTGCTCAAAATTTATTGGAATTGAGTATTGCCATATTTATAGACGGGAGATATGATAGATTTTTTTCTGAAATATCTCAGTCAAGATTCCATTGGTCGAATGTCCAATGCTCATCTGATTATGTGCGATCGACTTGGCCTTTTCCAGTAAGTTATTCTTCCTTTTTCCTCCTAAGCATTTAGTTGTTTGTGATATGTAGACTACTTGTACACTTATATATATGCCCGCTTATATGGCAGTTACCACATAATCGTTCAATACTGATGAATTTTGCAAAATTTAATGTATTTAAAAACGGCATTCTATTTAAAATGAAATTTTCTTTCAGCGAAATATGTGATAGTATTGCCCGGAAATGTGCTGTTGCTGTAGATTTTCCGAAAACTGGTGTACAAGCCAAACCGCTAATATTACATGAGCAGTGCGATTCTATACCGGATTACATGCAAAACACGATAAAGCCGTCATACAGAAGCAAACGATTGCTCGGTCAATTGTACAGGTAAATTATAGCTTTCCACAGAGTGTCATATGTTTGACAGAAAGGATCTTTATTAGGCCAAGTGAAATGGAATGCAAGAAAAATCAGAAGAATGGAAAAATAAATATTAAGTGGCAGATTCACAGTTTGACTGCACTCTCTATTTCGCTTTTAGATTTCATTGTTTGGCACTGAAGGTCCGATATTTCAGAAAAGCACAAAAAGTTGAAGATATCTCGGAAGCGGTACAAGGAGCAAAATTTGCCGATTACTATGATCCACAACTTTACGACGAAAGCTTATTTCATGAACAACCAAAACTGATTCAACGAAGTTTACGTTTGAGGAATGAATACTACTCGAGAATACAGGTATTTGGTTTCCAACATTTCGGATTATGGCACAATTGGATCTAATTGCTAACACTGTCATAAGCACAAAAGCTCAGCCTTTAAAAATCGGACGAGACATTACTTCGTCTATCATTTAAGATCAACCAGTAATTCACACACAATCGTTTCACAAATGAATTAAACGAATAGAATCAGGGACCGATTTTTTTTCGAAAGATTTTTCAGCAATTACTAGATGAATATGGAATTTCTGATGAAGCTTCTGTAATATCAGGGCATAGCTTGGCAATCAAAAGGATTGTTGAAATGGAAAAAGATGATTATTCGTTTTATCACTCGGATAAAATTGTCGAACTACGATACAGTCGCATTTTTGCATATTTCAGGCGTGAATTTTTTAAGGTTTACTTTGCTGAAGAATTTCCACTTGAATAAAATGTAGCAAACAAATAAAATAATTGGAAAAATTCATATGAAATAATTGGAAAAATTCACTGAAATAATTGGAAAAATTCATATATGTTTGAAAATCAAATTGTTTGTATTTGTAGGAATTTGGAGAAGAATCAGATTTCGTAAGTGTAGATGCGCTCGGAAAACGTGGAATGCGCTGGAATATGGCGCTGATCACGAAAGCTAAAGCGTGGTATGCAGTAACATATGCCAGCGCTTTCAGATCATCTTCTGAATTTCGATCTTTCCCTTGGATCGTTTGGGATATTTTGCTGATCATCAAACGTCAAATCGTAAGTGATTGCATTATTTTAGCTAAGTGGATGAACAGTACTCATTCCAAAGAAATGATTGCTACCAGATTTACAAATTTAAATTTGCTGATGAGAGATATTTCCAAGCCATTAGTTGTGGTTAAAATGAACTAAGTACATTTTCGAAAACATCAAATTTTAGGCACTTATGCTGAAATCACCACCACCATTGGTAAACCCTTTAGTGATCCATCTTACACAAGCAATTGAAAGTTTTTGCTATCATCATCATGCTGCACTAAAGCAATTTGTTAATGAGATGTCATTAGGGCCGATGCGACTTGATGCATTTGTACGATATTCTCAAAGGTAAATAAGTTCATGAGCCCTTTCATATAAATAATTAATCCAACTGATGTAAGAATCGTGAATGAAAGAGTAAGAGTGAGCATGATCTGCGATAATGTATTACATACTACGTAAGATATGAAAGTACCATATACATTGATCTTTTCAAACAATTTTAGTTTTAATATTTTGAAATTTAATTCTTCATCTAATTTTTTTGGACGAAGAATTACAGGTACGGGTCAAATGTCGAAATGCTCTGTTTTGTCATTGATAATTGGTTAAGAGTAGAAGGGATATATGAACGTTCTGCATTGCGGAGAATACATGCTATCATTTTGTTTTTACAATTTGCTGTTGGAATATTACATGGTAAACATACATCTGATGAGCTGATGAACAGACATCCCATTTATTTTGAAAAGGTAAAATCATATGGAACAAGAAGTCGTATATGTTCAATATTTAAAATGAATTTTATAGTTTAGAGTTCAAGTTCTGGATTTAAGAAATTCCATTTCCGGCTTAACTTCCCTCAAAATATTTAACCATTTCTTTGCAAAAATACTTGACAACTTCTTTTTTCCCTATGTTTTTCAGGTTTTTCTTGATGTTTTGACTTATGCGTATAAAGACTCGTTTTATGTGATATGCCAAGACGTTTAAAGCCGTATTGCTTCAAAATTTGAACCACGTTTATTGCAGCTGGACGATTTACGAGACAATTTCGAAACTTTTGACTTATCATATAGTATTGGTGAAATACTCTTCTCATTTGTGCGTTATTTGGCAAGCAGAGAATTTGCCTACGCAAATTTTATACGTTTTCGATTGGGCGGTATGATGCAAGGAAAGAAGGGTGCCTCAATTTTTACGAGACCAGGACAATGGTCTGCCCTTCATGCTGTTAGTTTTATGTTGTTTTCTAGAGGCAAGTTTAATCAGTGAATTTTTATTTCAGATTCATAAAAAATCATCTATGTGGGGGAATTGTCCGGAAAATGACAGTTACGTTACAAGAAATTTTTGAAGTCGAAAAGTTTTCTTTGCTGATACCAACTTAACAGGACATAGGTATTAAGTAATGCTATAGTGAAAGACTGGAAACATGAAATCACATGTATGTAAATAATTGTTATAGAAGTCTAAATTTTGGAGATTTTTGAAATCCTCGAAATCTGAAAATGGTTTCAGATATATTTCAAATTTATTTTTGTTGAACCAGGTGGCATTTCGTGCGTTTCATCATATCGCTATAACAGCTGAATTTGATGCTCTTCGGATTACCAAAAATGGTGGTACTGATATTGACTGTAACAGTAATGATGATACTGCAAGATATGACTGGGATTTTGGTGAATCAGATGCTCCAGTAATCATATCCGGTGAACTTTGCCGTCACAAAGACCTCAGTTTGCAACGAATCAATACTGCACTTAAGGTATATTCGTTACTTTTTTAATAAAGACATAGTGATCATTATCGATCATACGTAATTGAAGAATGAGAAATATCTGACTGATTGATCATCAATTTCACATTTAAAATGTTTTTAATGCGTACTGCAGTATTCATTACACCATTCACATTTAAATAGTATGATGACTTTTCAATTCGCAGATCGACACATCTGTTACAGAAATGGTCCGGTGTATATGAAATAATGAGTCGTGCAACGAAACATGAACAGTTGCTAATTACCTGTGCCGGAAGTGCCTTGGCTCGACAGCGACTGCATCGAATATTGTTGATGGAGCCGGAACGTCTTTTTGATGCCGTGCAAACGGACACTATGCCGAAAGAGGCCAGAGATGATTTCTTGTAAAATAGGGTTAATGTCGAAAAATTAAATGGAATTTCTAGTTTTGAATTAAAAGTGATGCTCATGCTTTAAATGGCATCTTCCATATTTCTCTTCTTCAGTTTTTACTTGTAGCCTTATCCTCTTCTTCAGCCTTAAAGCTCATCCTCTATTACGGACAATTCATTGTTTCGCCTTATATCTTGTGGGTTCAATTCAACGGTCTTTTCATTCATCAATTATTTCCCATCACATTTCATGACAGTTCTTCCTCCTAGCCCAATATTTAGCATTACCTGCATCGATCGCATGGAAGACAAGAATCACTGAATTACAGTCCTCAAACTGTGATAGAATCTAATATCGTTCTTCATCATTTGCACCCCAATGCTTTTAAAATGTTCTAGAGACGAATTTCATTACTTTTGTGTTTTACCATTTCTCTCTTATTACAGATCTCTGATCATTCACTGTGATGTTAAAGACAAAATAAACCACTTCCGTGAATGGCAAGTCGCCTCACCCAGCATAACCCAGCTGTACCGGTAATTGATACCTTCGAAAAGCCCAAATCTTATTATTTCCCCACCTGCGCTTATTGAATTGCGGTGTTTGGATGCTTGTCTCTGAAGAACTTTGCCTCCGGGAAGTTCAATTCCACCCGTAATCGAAATTCCAAAACCTTGTTTTGTTGACTGCCAGCTTATTTACTTCATCCCTAAATTTCTCGGCCTAAAATCGAAGGACATTCGACGGTCTTTGATTTCTTGGCCTCTCAAAGTCAACCTCCCTTCGATGTACATTCTCGTTTTAGCTTTGATTAAAGAAACAAAAGGAAAAACGGCTTAGCCAATAAAGTCCTTTACTACACTTCGGCAAATCCGAAATATTTCATACTTGAACTGTCCTGAAGTTGAGTTTTTGACACACTTAAACTTTAAAAAAAGACCAAAGATATCTTCACGTTGATGGGCATTTTTATCATCCTTCTCCAATCATCATTTTTCTACACTTTTTCAAGCTTCATACATTACCGATGATATAACAAATTAACCACTTCTGAATAACTAAAATAGTTTCGAGTACATCAAAAAATAAGTGCGAACAGAAAATGAGCTTAAGAATTAAAAAATGCGATGTGGGAATAGCTTCCTATCAAAGCTGGACGATTAAACATAATAAATATGTGAATATTTCTCATAGAAATCTTTTGCCATGTAGCTCCAGAGATGAATGGAACATGGGGTTAACTTATGCAGTTCGGAACATTATTTAAACAAACACAAGTCAAACACAACAGAAAATGTGATTAACTCTGGAACAGAGCATGCACGAACTGTTCATAGTCCAAAGCTCCCGGTACCGATCGACCAGAAATGGTATCTGTGTACGGCTTCATACGTTTAATGCAATACTCCGCTTGTTCAGGCGTGAGATTCTACAAAAATTTTCAACAGTTTCGTAACGACAATACCTTTTATAGAAAAGCTGTATACTGCGAAGTATCATCTTGTACAAGCGATAAATCTTCGTCTTAGTATTGTCTCTTAATATAATAGACACATATATGCAAAACTGGATCCAGCCGCCGTTGTGTAAACAACTCAAGCAGACTTATGATATATTCTTAAACTTCAACCCATCCTCCAGCAAGCCAACATAAGTATTAATAATTGGCGGGAACTAATCAAATTCCAGAAAAAAGATTTTGAACGTATATTTTCATGAGTGATGTAATACTTACTAAAGAACTCAAAGAGATCTCGACGGGAATAGCTTCATCACCTCATAAAACAGAAATACTGAACTTACCGCGTACAGTTCTTCAGCCGTAACATATGGCCGGAATTCTTTTGACAGAGCTCGAAATGCACTTTCAATTTCTTCGCTTGACTGAATATTCTCGGTTTCCTTTGAAATCATGAATGCCATGTATTCTTGCAGAGTAACATATCCATCCCGGTTCGGATCTACAATGTCCAAAATTCGCTGGAATTCCGGTTCCGGTTGTCCTTCATCAACCATTGGCAAATCGTAACCAAGTGCCCGCAAGCAACTCTTGAACTGCTGATGATCAAGACGTCCACACTTTTCCTGAACGTTGCTGACATCCGAATAATAAGTTGGAAAAACTGCATATAAAATTAAAAATGATAGGTACTTCAAGCATCAAAATTTCAATGACTTATGAGAGAATTCAAAGTAGATGAATTTACCTTATCGAAATGTTTGAACATCATGGAGAATTCTCGAAGAGCTTCTTCAGTCACACCGGACTGATTGCGCGCCTGAATCTGCTGCTCAAGATTATGTTGCATTCTCATGGCAAGTTGATCAAGTTGGTCCCAAGCTTGAGCTAAGCCAACGGTGCTGCAAATTAATTCATGTATTTCATTTATTATTTAGACAGCTGCAAAAATACCTAGCAATATATTTTGCCTCTTTCAAAAACTAAATACGAAATCTGAGATAATAAAGAGAAGTGAAAGAAAAATTGATAAATATGAATTATTGAAGAAGGGCAAACCTATGTTCGGTGTAGCGATTATCCAGGATGAGATATTCTTCTAGAAGAGCGCCCAAATCTTCGATTTTCTTCAGCTGAATACGATTGTTTTTCACATCTACCGCCTGCAAAAAACATAAACGATTCAAGTTGAAGTCCGAATGCAAACAAAACTATTCCTTTCAAAATCATACACTTACAATTTAGAGCAAGAGAGATAGTAATGAAAAGAGAGGGAAAGTTAGACATAAAAGGAGAGCTAAAAGCATACCGAGTGTCGCTACCAACGAAAGGATCTGAAAGACAAGTGGATGGAATCGAAAAAAATTGCCACCAATGTCTCTTAAAACAAAAATTTTTCCATAAGAAGCATTTACTTTCTTCTTCAACAACTCGAGTTGCTCTTCAAGTGTACCACTCGTTTCCATCATTGCTGCACGAGTTTCAGTGAGCCATTGATGGAATGCATTCGCTTGGCGAGCAAAATCACGGCGCAGTTTATCGTTATCTTCCTGGCGACGATGCTCCTTTTGCAGTTCCATTTCACGTTCCTGAATTGTATGAAAAATAAAATTAAAACAAAATTTACGGAATTTCCTCTAATATTTAATAAACTTTTATGATTGCTAATTCGAATGTCTACCCGAATTCATGTGCAATATGTAATACGTAAAAGTAGTTTGGTGAAAACACAACTTCTGAGCACTCTAAGTATAAATAGGATCTATTAACCTTGATGATTTTTTGCAAATTACGCCATGTTTCTTCCAGCGCATCCATTGTAAACCACGTATATGGATTTGGTCCGACATTGAATGATGTAATTTGTCTGTCAAGTAGTTGCAACTGTCTAAAATCTTCCTCAGCTGTTGATAACGATTTATGGAACTCGGCATGAGCTTCACGTAAAGCGCTAATCTCTTCCAGTGAATTACAGCGTACTGGATCCGTCAAATCTTCTTCTGCATTCTCGAACCACGAGTTGAACGCAGAAGCCTCAAATCATCATTTTATTTATATATGAAGATTTACACTCATTTAATGCAATTAAATAAATCTTCCACTTTTTCGATGGTAGCATGAATGACGTTTAAGGATTTAATCTCTCAAGATTCCAATACCATTAAATAATACCATATGGCTAAATACTATATAATACCACATGATTCAATGTGGAACACTAAGAACTCTAACTGACAACAGTTTGGCAGTTGTGCTCATCATTTCAACAGTCCGATAACAATCTGCTGTGGTCCTCATGTTTCTGGAAACATGAGTAATGCTTTACAAAGTACTAACCTTCTTTGCAAAGGTAAGATAAAGTTCCTCAATTTGTTTGTACTGATCTTGCATCTTCAGTAATTTCTGGCGTCTTGCTTCTGAATTTGCAAGAAGCTGCTGCCAGCGTCCGATAACATTTCCGTGTCGTTTCTCAATATTCGGTGTCTGGGCATGATGAGCATTTACGAGTTGGTCTTTGAGCTCCGTGATACGCTGGATACCTTCGTGCTCAAAAGCATTTAAACCTGCATCGAATGCTTCTTGTTTGGTTAAAAGAATTTGCACCGATGACAAATCACGTCCAAAATCATCCGATCGTACTTGCTGCTCTTTTTCCGCTGAAAAAATTTTTTT